ACCTGGCATGGTCGGTACGGAAATTTGATGTACCTACTAAAAAGCAATAATCACTTTAATTTCAACCAACAATTTTATTTAATTGTTCATAAAAAATATATTTTAGGAAAAATATACAAGTGCTTCTAATATTCATACACCATCTTAATCAATAATCAAATAAATAAATTTAAAAAAATAATTAAAATAATACCTAGGTACTATTTATAAGTATCTTGTTATACTTAATTTTAATTTAAAGCTATACATTATCTTAATATAATTGTTTTATCACATTTCATTCCWTTGATGAACAAATTGTTAACACGGTCATMTTTGATATAAAAGTTGTATTATAATATATATCAATGGATTTATTTTATTGAATTAATATAATGTAATCTATGGGCAAAGTCGTCACAGAAGACGCAGTCGACTAAAAAATCTATTATTAGTTAACCAAGCAGATATGAACGAAAAGCAAACTTTTCGTATAATTTTATTTTTTCATAAATCACACTATTTTCAGACTTCAATTCACAAGCGTCGGAGTGCATACACGCCAAGGACTCCAATGAAACCAGAAAGAATCAATATTTAAGGTAGATAATTTTGTTTTCATACCTATTATTTTGAGGCTTAAATTTATAGTTTAGACTGATTTTAGACAACACGAAAAACATGCTACCCAGGTTGGTACCAGAGTTGGGCAACATTTTATCTAGATAACTATTCGAATAAAAAATTATTATTTGAATACAACATTATTCGACTAATTTCTAAACGTTATTTTTCGACTAATTTTAAATGTTATTAATCGAATAAAAAATTATTCGGATAATTTCCAAACGTAATTATTCAAGTAAAAAATTATTCGAATAATTTTCAAACATAGTTATTCAAATAAAAAATTATACTAATACCTACAAAATATGTATCATATAAGATGGTTATAAGTCTTCTATTTAATAATAGCATTAATTATACTGCTATATATTAAACTAAATTAATTTTTTTAATAATTTACTAATAAAATGTTTTATTGATTTTTACTATATAATTTTAAATACTGCATGCAGCTTGTTCTGAAAATTTTTATTTTTTTTCGAATAATAATGTTTGAAAATTATTCGAATAAAATGTTATATAAATACAATTTCATTAAAATAACGCCCTACTCTGCCAAGTAGGTACCGTAGACAAATATTTTATTTTTGAAATGTATAAAATTCAAACGCAGTATTTTTTACGGTTGCCAGGCGTATATAGGATAATTATAATTATATATTCATAATCTAGCCAATCTAGGTAGGTTCTTGAAGTAGAGATTTCGGTTCAATTAATAKAATTAATACCTTCTATAACTGATAAATGACAACTCATATAGTAGGTACCTATTACAATTTTGTTTTATAACTTGTAATATTTTCTAAATCCAACCTAATAAATTATAGGAAACTATTAATCTACTATATTATATTTTAGGTACCTATATTATAGTTATATCTAACCTTTATTGTTCACCAATGTAATGATCGTAGCATTTGTAGCGATGTATAACATTGTACAACTAAAAAAAAGTTCACCGAATGGTAAACTGTCTATTATCCCGAGTCCTGACTAGTAATGAACATCCCGTGTGCTCGTTTATGAAAAATATACTTATAGGTACTCTTATAAGTATCTATATAAATWGTAGTGCATACTCACAGAGTTCTCATTTCTATAGTTAATAAATTAAATTCTATAAATTTATTGGAATCGCATTTATTATTTATTTCTAAAACACAATATATCAAACATTAGTATACATACAATACATTGGAATAAYATTTATAAATTATTTAAATGAAATAAACACACCAACTAATGAGCAATTATAATTAATCCTTCTATTGTTCTATTATTAAAATAAAAATGAACCAATAAGTACCGAAGTTCTATTAGATATGTTGCGGAGTGGACTGTAAGCTTCTGTTGGTTACTTCGGATACTCAAGTTTATTAGCTACTAATATTAAAATAATTAATTAGACGCAATTGAAACTAAAATCATTTAAATACGTTTATTTCGAATCATGAGCACATKCCACGCTCTATACTTTTCGACGACTAACTCGATACAATATAATATAATATACAAATCAACGATAAAACCGTCGGCCTCACTGGCCGGTAACAATAATGTCATATTTGCACCGATACGCGACAAGATAACTAACTTGTCGTGGTTAGTGAAGGAATATTAATAATATTATACTCCTATAAATCTAATAAGGTCTTGAATAAAATATTTAAAACATAAATAAACACATAATAATTAGGTGGGCAAGTCAAAAGTTAAACATTATTTTCTATAAATTGAGCATGATATTTTATTTACGGGTGAGACATTGCAATTGCACACATAATTACACGACATTTTATTAGAAACGGATAAACGTAAAACAGATTATTTATTTATCGTWATTATAACGTCTGTACCGGTGCGACCGCGAATATCCAGTGATATTTTACCCCACTAAGGTAAAATATCACTAGCGATTATTTACCCCCGGTAAAATATCACTAGTGATTATTTGCCCCCAGGTAAAATTTCACTAGGTTAATTTTACCCCTCCACAGGTAAAATTTCACTAGTTACGAGTATTATTTACCCCGATAAAATTTCACCAGTGATATTTTCACTAGCGATTATTTACCCCTGGTGAAATTTCACTAGGTTAATTTTACCCTGGTAAAATTTAACTCTGTGATAGTTTACCCCTCCACAGGTAAAATTTCCCCCAGCGATTGTTTACCTCAAATAAAATTTCACCAGTGATATTTTCCTAGCGAATATTTACCTCAGGGTAAAAATCCACTAGATTTAATAAAATATTATTTATTTGAAAATAATAAGTTTGGGTTAGGTATTTATTATGTGTTTGAATTCTTCATCTAACATCACCCTCTTTATAGCGGACAGTCCAGTGGCGTAATTAGGAATTTGTCTTAGGGGG